CCCCGTGCATGCGTGCGTGTCTGCATGTGTGTGCACGCATACTCTCTCTTCCAAAAAAAAAAGTTAGCTTGCATGCACGGTATTTCTTTTTTGGTTGTGAGAATAGAGTCTGGGAATTGTGTCTACCTTGAGAGATGGGAGTGAGTGAATCGTAACTTTGGAAAAGGCAAGACCTGCCTGTGGGATGTTGCACATGGCCAGTCTGCATCACTTACAGGGGCCCAAGGGCATGAGACACCGTGGTTGAGAGAGGAAAGTCTGTTTGTGCTAACATCCTAGGGAAGTGAAGTGTTCTTTTTTCCCATGAGACATTGCAAGTTTTGAACAAGTAAATACACATTGTTCTAAAACAAAACAGACTAAGGGGCGCCCGGGTGTGGCTCAGTCAGTTAAGCATCCGACTTTGGCTCAGGTCATGATTTCGCAGTCTGTGAGTTCGAGCCCCATGTCGGGCTCTGTGCTGACAGCTCAGAGCCTGGAGCCTGCTTCGGATTCTGTGTCTCCCTCTCCCTCTGTCCCTCCCCTCCTCATGCTCTGACTCTCTGTCTTTCAATAATAAATAAACATTAAAAACATTTTTTTTAAATAAATAAAATAAAACAGACTGGGGTGCATGGGTGGTTCCGTTGGTTAAGGGTCTGACTTCGGCTCAGGTCACTGTCTTGCAGTCCGTGGGTTCGAGCCCCGTGTTGGGCTCTGAGCTGACAGCTCAGAGCCTTGAGCCTGCTTCACGTTCTGTGTCTCCCTCTCTCTCTGTCCCTCCCCCACTCACGCTCTGTCGCAAAAATAAACATTAAAAAATTAATAAAATGTGTAGATAGCTTTGGCTAGTATTAAAAAAAAATAAAAAATAAAATAATAAAAAATTAATAAAATAAAACAAAACAGACTGATTATGCCCAGAGGTGCTGCTTGCCTGAGCAGATTGCATATAGAAAGGTGCCTGCTTTCACAGGGACACCAGGAATCTGTGCTTTATCACACCCGGGTTTGTCCTGACATGCCCTTGGGCCGTCACCTCAGGTGTTGTCCGTATTGGGAGCACAATGAATGGAGCTGTCCCAGTGCCCACCATGGGGCCCTCTGTCTTCGGGGGCAGCAGCTGTGCCCAGACACAGCTGTCGGTAGAGGGGCCTTTCCGAAGGCCAGAGTGCCTCAGGGAGCAGTCTTGTGAGAAGGCAGCCCTATGGGAGTTGGCCTCGGAGTCCTCACCTGGGGGTTTTTAAGACCAGTGTAAATTGGTTCTTGGGAGCTAATTAGTTTCCAGAAAGATTTTGAAAAGATCAAGGTGGGCTTGGAACTGCTCCCCGCCCCCCCCCCTCCCGCCCCCAGCAGGCCCTTCCTTGGGCTGACGTGGCCTTGCAGGTGAATACATTGAGCTTTGTGGAAGGTCATCTTGGGTGACAGGCCGGGCACCTGTCCCCTGAAGCCTCATGTCTCTGTTGGAGGGCTAGGAGTTGGCCCTAAGGGTTAACTGAAGCATGCATATAGCTTTTTATTCCCACTGTGCTTTCCCATTATGCTGGGAGAGCTTTTCAGAGTGTGGGTATGGCCCGTGGGTGGAAGTGAGACAATTTAGTGGATGGCAACTGGCACTTTTTAAAGTAAAATAGAATAAAAGAGAAAGTATCAGGGAACATGGGAATGGTTAGGGCAAGTATGGTTTTGTAATACCTGTTTCTTAGGGACACACACACACACACACACACGAACGTTTGTACAAGTGGGGCGAGATGTAAGGATATGTTTCCTACTGTGTTTCCTGGTCAAAGTTTGAAAGCCTGTCTGGTGAAAGATTTATTCGTTTTCAGTAAAAACTTTAGAGTGTCCCATTCATTCTGAAATTCAGTCAGCTGCTGGACCTCGCCTTATTTAATTACCGGGAGTGAGTCTGAGAAACACCCTGTGTAGGATTTCCTATTAAGTTACCAGGACCTCCATTTCCGTATGAAGGGATTTTTTTTTTTTTTTTCTGGAACTCCTTACATTGGGCTGGTAGAAGGCCTATATTGCAAAAATGTGAGCAACTATTATCACAATTGTTATAAATTTATAAAACCATGTTTTGTTTGCTTAATTGACGAATTTCTTCTTCAGGTTTCCTTGCTACAGAATGAAAGTGTAGAAAAAAACAAGAGCATACAAAGTCTGCACAATCAAATATGTAGCTTTGAAATTGAAATTGAGAGACAAAAGGAAATGCTTCGAAATAATGAATCCAAAATACTTCATTTACAGGTAAGAAGCTTATATCTGTGGCTGGATCCACAGGGTAGAGGAGCGTGTCTGTTCTTCAGGACTTTGTCAGTGAGACGTTTGAGCAAAGGCCCTGACTTTTGTCAGATAGACCACCTGATTCTCTTGCTTAAGCCTCGAGAAAGGCACAGGCCACTCTTTCTCCCCCCCCTGCCGGCCTTTTCCCTGGACAACAAGCCGCAGGCCTCTCTTCTTTGCCTTTGAGTCCCTGCTGGTGAAGTAAGACTTCAAGCCCGTGTTTTAAAAAATTATCTTATTTAAGATTTCATATTGTTCCTGAGCAGTTTTGCGTGAAGTTTCACTTCCTAAGGCGAAGCAAAGCCAATCTGTTTTGTTACGAATCTTCTAGAGGCACACACACTCTCCCCACACTGTTTGACGATAGCGATCCGTGCGTACCTCAGAACAGACATGTCAGCCTTCGCCAGAAACGGGTGATCGTGTAAAGAGGCCTGATTAGAATGTTGCTCCTCCCTTGTGTTCTCAACACGGGCCCCGGTTAGCATATCATTTTGTAGATCTTCTCTGTACGTCAGCTTACTCGCAGTGTACATTTGTTAGACTAATCCCCACGCGCATCACACGCACACACACCCTTACGTTTCCAAAATGGCTTTTCAGTGTTTTAGGTGTGTTTCCCTCTTAACTGGAAGGTGAAATATTTCTAGTAGCTCAGGGTCACAGCATCTTTGAGGATGGCTTTCCTCCCACTTTAACAGCAGAGGTTAGTCACAGTGGCTTAAGTTGCAGAGAGATTTATTACATGAATTTCGTTTGTGTTAAAACGTTGCGGTTGTCCAGAGTTGAGGAAAAACACAGTGTTTTGAAATAATAGGTTGTATTAGAAGTCATTGGTATTGAATCAAGCCAAAAAAGCACGTCACATAAAACACCAACAAGCCTCCTGCTGGCGGTCCCTGGCATTTTGCAGAGTGCCCATGGAAATATTCAGAATGTCCAGAGGCCACACTCACCTACATGGCCCCACTCGCGTCCTGGCTGCCAGCAGCATGGTGGCTCCCTGGGGCGCATAGAGGGGCATGGAAAGGACACGGAAGTTCACGTTATGCTAGAAAATCACCTGTTAAAAATACCACCGACAGAAGAAAGAGTGAAGAAGTAGTGGGTCATTTATACGTCATCTTTTACGACCAGATAAAATTAGGATGTACCCAGAGGGGTCACGGGGACACTTGTCTGAACCCTCTGATGTTATCACATGCATCCTCTCCATTTCCCCCCTTCCAACGTGAAAAGTTTGAATTTAATTTACTTTTTCGTAGAATTTAGTCATTCCGCCATCTGTGATTTATATTTTAACACTTTTGTGATTTCATAAACGGCTGAGACCTAGGTTCGAAAGAAAGGGGGGAACCAGGTTGCCAGAGTGCAGAGCAGTGGGGGCCGAGCGGTCATGCGGGTAGTGCCCCCACTGGTCCTAAGTAGGCGGGCACTCTCCATGGAGGAAGAAGCATGGAGGAAAATAGACTATATTGAGAGGAAGGGATTCAGATCACACTGGGCTCGAAATGCCTAATCTCATTAAGTGCCAGGGACAAGTCACCGAGGACTGAAACATCCTTGGGATGGTCCAGCATTTCCCCCAGTGGCTTCTGCGTCTAGCCGGGCAATGCTTTGGAAGGCGGAAGCTCACCTTTGCTTCACGGTGGTGCTGGCAGTCTTCCGAGACCGTGGGTGGAAGGCCTCTGGCTGGAGCCCTGGAGGCCTTGACTCTCTGTGAAGCATGTTCGGCCCAGGGGCCCTTCCCTCCAGCCCTTCCAGAGCCTTCTCCACCTCTTCATCCGGAGCCTGGCTCCCAGGTGCACCTCTCGTCATTTCCTTCCTCACATCAGAACCCTTCCCTTCCCCTGCCCCTGTTCTCCTCAGTGCTCCCCCAGCCCTATGCATTGGACCACCACGGTGATGACAGACATGTTAGTCTCTGTGTCCTCTCCTTCCTTGTCTGATTCTCCATTAGACCTAAAACCCCAAATACAGTGGGACACATGGAGTGCAGAGTTCCTGAGGGCCGCAGATATATACAGGATGTTGGTTAAAAGGAGTGGAATTTAAGAGTGTGTTTGCTTTTGCTGACCCAGGAAAGGCAATTTCTTAATATTTTACTTTTTAACGTTTTTTGTTTTTTTTTTAATTTATTTTTGGGACAGAGAGAGACAGAGCATGAACGGGGGAGGGGCAGAGAGGGAGGGAGACACAGAATCGGAAACAGGCTCCAGGCTCCGAGCCATCAGCCCAGAGCCTGATGCGGGGCTCGAACTCCTGGACCGCGAGATCGTGACCTGGCTGATGTCGGACGCTTAACCGACTGCTCCACCCAGGCGCCCCAGAACCTGTTTTTCTTAACGAAAAAAGGCCACCTAGAGGTCAGCTGAATCCCTGGCCTGTTGTTGGCAGATACTAGATGAGCCCAGGGGGCAGGAGCAAAGCCGTGTGGCACACTGCCCGCCTGGCCCCCAAGTGCCACCCGCATCATCCTGTTTGCACAGTGTTTGGTGCGTAGGTCCCAGTGACCCCCATGGTGCAAGTGACAGGAAGAGAGACAGTGGCTTAAGCCCTCAAGTGCACAGTGCCTGACACTGATGAATTGATGCTCTGACAGCAGCTCTCTCGGTTAGGATTTGTTTACAAGCCTGCAACCTGTGCCGTCTCTCCCAGACTCTTGTTCTCACTCACGTTCAGGATTTGTTCTTACAGAAACGTGGCAGTGGCTGTGTAGACCACTCCTCGAGAGTGAAATCACATGGCTGCACTCTAGACTTTGGTTTAGATGAGCGACACCATGCCATTTCTGCAGAGGAGGGGCCTGTTTAAAAACAGCACATGTTCCCTTGCTGTGTGTGTGGAGCTCCTTTCAAGTGACTCGGTAGAGCCCTGCGTGTGCGCACGTACGTGTGTGTGGTGTGTGTGGGTGTGCGTGCCTGTGTGTGCACGTGTTCTCTCCCGTCCCCGCCAGCCAACTCTGTGTCCCTGAGCTCTAGTCCGGGCCGTGCCCCTACGGCAGCCCTCATTTCACACTGCAGTTTCATTCCTGACCTCACCACGTGCACATCCTCCGCCTTGGGAAGCAGGCACCGCGGCGTCACCCCCTTTTTACCTCGGGGCCACGAGGCGGAGAGGTGATGTGTTGCTCATCCCAAGCCACTCCACTGCTCATGTCCACCAGGTTACGCAATGGCATCCCTCAGGACCACCGTCGATTGCGTAGGTTTTCATGAGCTCCCCTCTTAAACTCTCTAGGACCCATGTTAGCCGAGCTTACACTCTCCGTGGGTAGAGGGCGTGACAGCCACTGCAGATTCTCATCAGAAATACATTATGGGTTCGGGCGTCCTGATGTTGGAGTCTTGTCCCCAGAAAACAGACTTCGTTTTAAATGTGCCTCCAGAGGCCCCCCGGGTGGCTCAGTCAGTTAGGCGTTCAACTTCTGATTTTGGCTCAGGTCGTGATCTCGTGATTTGTTAGTTCAAGCCCAGCTTGGGGCTCCACACTGATGGCGTGAAGCCTGCTTGGGATTCTTTGTCTCCCCCTCTCTCTGCCCCTCTCCTGCTCTCTCTCAAAATAAATACACTTTAAAAAATAAATAAGTAAATAGGCTTCCAGACACACATATAGAAATAAGTGACATCAGTGTGGGAAGGGGTGTTTTTTATAGAAATCATCTTCGCTTTTTAAAAGTTGGCTAATACCGGGTTTTCTTGGAAAGAAGAGGAAGAATAATACCGTACCTTCTACCCCAAAAAAGTAACCAGACCTACCATGTTTGCTCCGTGGTGGTTATTAACAGCCAGCAAAGGTGCTGAAACTCAATGTTTAAAAATAGGCTTCCAAAAGGAGAAGTGAACTCGGCAGGCCCGGGGCTCTCCCCTGTGCGGCCTGCGGCTCCACACGGGGCCAAACCCCCCAACCTTCCCCAGCTTCATTTCAAAACAACGCAGATCCTTTTCGGAAGGGAAAACCCTTCATCCAGCAGGTGGGTGTGCCAGTCCTGGAAAACAGGCTGGGTTGCCGTAGCTGGTGGGTCTCATCCCACTGCTTACTGTTAAAATGTCTATGTGTTTCTGGGAAAAAAAAAAAAAAAAAGGCTTTCTGAATGATTTAAGGTAGCATAAAATGCAGCCTCTGTGTCAACAGCCACATGTCTGTCAGTAGTGTTTCTGTGCCCAGGGGCCACAGTGAGCCCGGTGTGGGGGGTGGGGGGCAGCCCCCTCCTAGGGATTGGCCTCTCCGTTTCAGCCAGGGTCTGAAGACCTGTCCTCAGGGTTCTTCCTGCTGCCAGCCCCGTGCAGACGCCAGGTTTCTGGAGCAGGTGCCGGGGTGCTGGCAGCCCCCTCTCGGGACCCAGGCAGGGTTCTAGGGTGCTGTCTGTAGCCACGGAGACAGGGCGGCCCCTCCTGCCCTGCGCCAGGCAGCCTCCGAGGAGACTCACATTGGCCCCTGCACATGGCTTGGCCCTTTAGGAAACGGAGACCTTCCCACAGCCTCCAATGTCCTGAACTTGAGACCCTACAACGGAGTGGTGTGGGGCCCCTGTGCCTCGGTCCCCAACTCTGGGATGGGGATCCACGGCACTTGTGTCCCCTGAGATGGGTGTGGGTGACAGGTGAGGTGCCCGTGTGAGAGATGGCACGGGGCTCATCCGCGCAGCTCTGGGCTGGCCGCTCTTCCTAACCAGCCGGTGTCCGATGGTGGTGGCATAGCGTCTTCAGAGAGTTCTAACTGCATTTTGCCTTCTGATGCCTTTGATTTGGAAGCGGGTAATAGACAGCCAGGCGGAGAAATTGAAAGAGCTTGACAAAGAGATCCGCCCGTTCCGGCAGAACTGGGAAGAAGCGGACAGCATGAAGAGCAGCGTGGAATCCCTCCAGAACCGAGTGACCGAGCTGGAGAGTGTGGACAAAAGCGCCGGGCAGGCGGCTCGGAACACAGGTGAGGGCAGTGGGGCAGGAGCAGGGGGGTGGGATGGGTCCAGGGGGCGGCGCGCGTCCCAGTCCACTGCTGGGAGCCCGGCCAGGCCTGGGGGCTTGAGCTGGTGCAGGTGGTGCGTTAGGCACGCACCATCTTTGAGCAGAGCAGCGATTTCCAGTGAGATGCTACTCGTGCAGAGGTGCGATGCCCTCCAGCCAGAGAGGCCTTCGTGAAAGAAATGTGTCCTGCGTAGACACGCCCCCTCCGTGTGATGCCAGCGCGGTAGAGAGTGGGTGCGGGGTGGACACCTTGCTATGGTGGGGGGTTCCCAGCTGTGCTGTAAGGCCCAGGGGACAGAAGTGACGAGCAGGTGAGGCAGGAGACTTGGTGGCGCGCTCAGCCAGCGCGTTTCTGAGATCTAGAAGCTGCTTTGGGGACTGAGTGAATATTCTGAATGTTTGCGTGACCGGGGTTACTGGTGCAGAGGGACTGAGATTGTGGTGATGCCTGCCCCCGAACCCCCGGGTTAAGTGGAGGACCGGGAGTGACGTGGGGAGAGGCCACTCAGTACAGGTGACTCCAAGCATCAGGCTGGAAGTCAGGGGGACTTGAGCAAGAGGGTGGCCTGTCCCTGCCCCCACGGGGCCCTGAGGGTGCCTTGCCGGAGGGAAGGCGCCGCAGCGATGTGCCCTGCGACGCACAAGGCCCCGTGACCCCCGGTGTTGCATCTCAGCAGGCTGTGGCCGTGGGTGTTGGGGGCCAGCAAGGCAGGGGCCCGAGGCCTGTGTTTCAGGACACGTGAAGGTGCCGGTCCTCGCCCCCAAAGCCATTTCATTTAGTGCCGGTGCTGGCGGGAACAGGGCTCCCGAGCCTTCCTGACGCTCACAGGCCTCCTTCACCCCATCTGTCCTCACCCGCGGCAGGCTTGCTGGAGTCCCAGCTGAGCCGGCACGACCAGATGCTGAGCGTCCACGACATCCGCCTGGCCGACATGGATCTGCGCTTCCAGGTTCTGGAGACCGCCAGCTACAATGGCGTGCTGATCTGGAAGATCCGAGATTACAAGCGGCGGAAGCAGGAAGCCGTCATGGGGAAGACCCTGTCCCTTTACAGCCAGCCTTTCTACACGGGCTATTTTGGCTATAAGATGTGTGCCAGGGTCTACCTGAACGGGGATGGCATGGGCAAGGGGACGCATCTGTCGCTGTTTTTTGTCATCATGCGTGGAGAATACGATGCTCTGCTTCCTTGGCCGTTCAAGCAGAAAGTGACACTCATGCTGATGGATCAGGGGTCCTCTCGGCGTCACCTGGGAGACGCGTTCAAGCCGGACCCCAACAGCAGCAGCTTCAAGAAACCCACCGGGGAGATGAATATCGCCTCCGGCTGCCCGGTGTTTGTGGCCCAAACTGTGCTGGAAAACGGGACGTATATCAAAGATGATACCATTTTTATTAAAGTCATAGTGGATACTTCGGATCTGCCTGACCCCTGACAAGTCACCGGGGAGGTGGGTTGAGCAGAAGGCAACTCCTCTGGGGGGTTTGAACCGGCTGTCTCCACCGAGGTCCTCGCGCTCAGAGAAGGACCTTGTGGAACGGAGGAAGCAGCAGAAGGTGGCCGCGGGCCGGCGGGAGGAGCCGCGTGTGAGGACACACCCGACATGCTTTCTGATAGACTAGCAGCTCCACTCTGAAGAATTATTTATCCTCCAACGTGATAGATACTGCTGTCAGAGAAGGTTTTCATTTCATTTTTAAAGATCTAGTTAATTAAGGTGGAAAACACATATGCTAAACAAAAGAACCATGATTTTTTCTTCCTTAAACTTGAACACCAAAAAAAAACACGCACACACGCACACACGCACACGCACGCACACACACCTGGGGACAGCTGGACATGTCAGCATGTTAAGTAAAAGAAGAATTTATGAAATAATAATGCAATTCTTATATATTCTAAAATTCAAGAGTGCAATCTTGTTTCAAATATAGTATACTGTCTATTTTTAAGGCCTCATCTGGTCTCTGTTTTAATAATTTGTTTGTCAGAAGACCCTGAAGTACACCTAGGTCTTTTTTGGAAGTCTGAATTCAGAATCATTTTTTAATTTGAAGTTCTAAGATAATTGTTACTGCAGACATTTTGTTTTAAAACGTTGATAGACTGATATTTCTTGGCAGAAAATGTAAACTATCAAACGCTGGTTATCACTTGTGATAGGAAAGAGCATACTCAACCTGCTGTATTTCTCGTTAGAAATGTAACCTTCAATCTCTGTCGTAGTTAATGACACTACTTCAAAATTATTACGAAAGGGAAACTGCTCATGGATGCTGTGCATCATTTTCAGATTTATAATTGTTTTCACCCTAAAATAGGGCATTTGTTGAACTTTGGAGTTCTAAACAAAATCCTGTAGGCTTTTAAAATTCTGCCCCACGTATTCAGACACGCTCTCTGTTGCTGACAACTCTGGCCTTCGGCGTCCAGGGTCCGGGGGTGGGCAGGTGGCTCGTGCCGAAGGAGGCCACAGCAGGTGTGTTTTTCTTCATCCTGTCACATTGCTGCATTCTGTTAACGATCTCCAAAGGCGACATCTTTGCATAGAGGTGGTGGCATACTGTCTATGTGCCTTAGATGTGACATGCTGCTTCTCGACCCTGGCTTTGTGTTCACTGTAACTCTAGAAGGTGATAGTTTGACCCGGCGTTCCTCTCGACCACTAGACCCCTGCCTCTGCAAGGGCCCTCAGACAGCCCCGTGCCTGCTGAGGAAGCCAGGCTCAGCTTCCGCTTCTGGAGCCTCCACTGCTCAGTCATCACAGATTCCAAGTCTCTGGGCCCCCAAAGCGAGCCGCCTGGTCCCAGCACGGGCGCGGTCCCACCCCCAGGGCAGGAGCGGGGCAGCCACCGTGCCTCTCCGTGTCCCCACCTGGGCCGTGGGCGCCCACCCGCCACGAAGCAGAACCCTCTGAGCATTCCAGAGACCGCCGCTCTCGGGGGGGCCTGCCCAGGCTGACGGACAGGGTCCTGGAACCACCGCTCCCTCGGGAAGGGTGGCCCGGGGACCGTCCCAGCCTGCGCCTGCCCAGACGGCATCTTCTCAGCTCACTCACTGTTTACCTTCTTTCAATGGTCCAACTGTGACTAGAAGCCGGAGCCCTGCCTCCCTGCGCCCCCCGCTGTGCGCCGCGCTTCTGGGTGCTCTTACCACTGATGGGTGCTACACGTGACGGGTGCTCCTTGGGCTAAACCAGTGTGTGTGAACCACCGCATCTGGGCCGCGCACCTCAGACTGCCTGCCTCTGGGCTCCCCCGTGCTCACGCGGGGACGGTCGGGCTGGTGCCCGGTGGCCCGCCGTGTCTCTGGTGCTGCCATCTGCCCTGGGCGTGCCTCCGCCCCAGTGCCTGCTGGAAGTGCCCTCCTAGCACACGCCGTCCCCTTCCGTAAGTGACCTCATCGGTTCCAAGCACCTGCCACGCCCGTTAGCAGTTAAATGCTCGTCGTATTCATCTCCTTTACTTTCTCCACCCTGCCCCCACCCCCGTTGCTTTGAGGGCCAGTCCGCGTCCTCCGTCCTGTCCAGAAGGAGTCGTGAGTCCCCGTGCAGAGAGGAAGGACTACCCGTGGGTGCTGCGGGACCGCTGTCCCTCAAAGGTGTTCCCGACCTCCTCCAGACCTTGCCCTGGTTCTACCCCGGAGATCCAGGGGAGACAGGACGCCTGGCAGCCCCTCCTGCCTGGCCTCAGGTGGCTTTCCTGAGGCCAGGGGTTACCAGCGGGGACATGCCTGTGGCATGCCTGCGTCCTCCCCCATCACTAAGAGTGTGGACAATATTAACAAATTTGAGATAAAAGCAACCTCTTGGTCTGGTAAAACAACAACAGCAACAACAGTTCTTTGCCTCTCCTGGTTGAAATTCTTCTGGGGGTGGGCTACCTGGAATCACTTCTGGAAGCATCTGTCCCTTGGTGGGGGGGCACTTTCCCAGTCGCCCCTCCCACACACGCTCCTAGTGGGAGATGACGGGCCCTTTGGGCCTCCTCCCGAGGAGCCCATAAGACGTGGCATCAGGAGCTGGCGCCATCCCCTGGGGTGAGGATGTGCAGAAGCCTCATCTTGTGGCTTGAAAATAATTGGCGACAGCGGGGGGGGGGTGGGTCGTGTGCCTTTTGGCCACCGTTTGGTGCACATCTTCCCTCTCACGCACTCGTCCGGAAAGCGGCCTCCCGAAGGACCTGAGTGCGAGGACCTGCCCGGATGGACGCACCTGGCATTGCTTCCATCCTGACTCCTCGGTGCCCCGGTTTGGTGCTCGCCGCCCGGCGCCGGCCTCCGGCTGTGGTCCCCGAGCGGCCAACCCTCCCGGCTTCCCAGGGTCCCAGCAACAAGAGAACAGTGTCCTACGCGGCGTGTATTGGGTGCACTTTTCCTGTTTCCTAAAAGTGACAGATCTCCCCATGGGATAAAACTGTTCCAGTGCTTTAGAAAAACCACCACTGAGTCTTGTGTGTGAATCAAGCCAGTCGGCTTCCCTGTCAGCCTCGTGCCGGAAGTGAAGACAACTCACTGTCTCTGCTTTTGCCTCGTGTGCTTCTCTGGACGTGTGCCGCTTGCTCCTGCGCGGACCATGGAGGCTGCTGGGGGGCTGGCGGCCTGGGGCTGGGCTTGTCGGTGATGGGTGGGCACCTGCTGGGGAGCACACGGCGTGGTGGGCGTGAGTGAGGGCCTGTCCCAAGAGGCTGGGAGTCTTTGAGTGGCCGAGTGGCATTTGGCTCTTGGGGATTAGACCGGCCCCGGGGAGGCTGGAGTCCCCTCACCTGGGCCTCTTCTAGAAGTTCGGTTTTTCAGTGTCCTAGGTTCACAGGTAACACAGAGGAAACAGGAATGCTCGCAAATTGTTCTTCTAAGACCTGTCCTACAAGAGGGTGGCGCTGACCCCCTGAGGGTGGGTCGCTGTGCAGGTGGACAGGGAAGGCCTCGTGGGGGCCACTGTTGTGGCCCCAATTCACAGCCTCCCCCCGGAGCAGCCTTTGCGAGGCAGCAGGTAGAGCAAGGGAGCTCTCGGCCCAGATGCGCCTTTCTTTTCCTGCCCGATACGGTTTTTCCTTGCCTTGTGACCCCAGAAAGCCGTGGAGTACAGGAAGCCTGTCCTCCATGGCGGCCACCCCCACCAGGCCCTTCAGATGCTGCCCAGATTCTAGGGGGCTGTCTGGCAGAGCCGATGCCCCCGAGGCTTCCCCTGTACCACTGCGGCCCACCGTGGTGAGGCGGGGTCCTTGGCCACCCACGCTGGGGCCACATGTCCCAGGTGAGGCCTGCAGCTGTCATCAGGCAGTGTCGTGGCCACCGGTGGCAGGCCTGGCATCCGGCAGCCAGCAGGGGACGGGGTGTCTGGACAGACCCTTAAACACGGCAGGTTCCCGTGATGGGTCATTTCTTTGTCTGCCCAAGGGAGGTGGGCAGAGTGGCAGAACCCACCCGCCCCCAACTCACATCCTGGGGGGTGCACACCACCTCCCTACTCTGTGCGTGAAGGAGGGGGGACACTGTCCTTCTGTGCCCATCACGGACGTGTCTGGCTCCCGGCCTCTCCGCCAGTGTTCACGGGGCCGGTCAGGAGCCGCACTCCTCCTGGGACCTCGTGCCCAAACCTCAGCCCTCCAAAGGGAGTCCCTCTTCTCTGGGTCAGCAGAGCTGTTCAATACCGTTTTCTTCCTTCTGGTCCAGACCTTTCTCAGAGTGCGGAGGAGAGCCGGGGGGAGCCCCTTCCTTTTGTGAGCGTGTGGGAGGTGAATGAGGGGTCTGTCACCCAAATCTGCCTGTCAGCCCGAGACCATGGTTCTGTCTTCCATTTGCAAATCCCGACAGCTTTATTTTCTCCAAAGCAGAATTGTGTCCACTGGGGCCGAAGTCGGGTGAGGGCCGTGTGTGGCTCCGGTGTCGGCTGGTGACCTGGTCGTCGGTACTGTCTGCCCGGGCGGGGCAGGCCGTCACCGGGGAGCCGGGGCCAGCGGGGGGTGGGGGTCCCCAGGGGTGCTGCCCCCTGGCCTCCGGTGGCCCATGTGCGCGGAGGTGGCCGGTCTGGTGTGGGGAGGCCCTGGTGGCGCCAAGCAGTGCTTGCCTTTCATTTCCGCTGCTGCATCTTGAGTCTTCGCGAACTGTCGCATTGGAAGAGGGTCAAGTCCAGGATGGCTGTGCCACTCCTGCCGTTAGTGGTGATTGGTTTTTATAACTCAGTCCCCCATTAGACAAGTAAGATAACCTTCAACAGCAAACTGACTTAATTGGTAAACACAAACGCCGGCATTATTTCCAAGGATTTCTACAAGAATTACCTATAGAATAGTATCTGTGATCACAGAAGTGTGTGAACCCGTGTAGACAATTGTGTGACGTTGTTAGAGCCGCAATCTCCCTGACGGCACACCTCTTCGTTCAGTTCTGTTACCCAAAAACAAAGACCAAAGAAGGCCAATCTCTCATTTG